TGTGTGCAGGGCTGTGAACAGACGAGCTGAATGCACCCCCCAAATTTGTCGTTGTTGCAGTTCAGCGCACAGACGGGATAAATAAGTGAGCCAGGCAGCGCCTGTCATGGGAGTGATTAATGTCTGGCACCCTCCACACACACAAATGCCCTCCTCTCTTCCCCTTTCTCCACACTTTGTCTCACATAGCATGCAATCTTGTCTGTGTTGCATAGGCCCACCGACATGCACGTACGCACGCACGCGGACATGTGTGCCTGTCCAGAGGAAGCACGTGCGCACCCTGTGTGTAGGCCGCAACAGCGTCAGGCTCCGATTTAAACAAAATTTGTGACAGCTACCACGCTGATGGAGGTGTGGGCGGCGGCGGCGGCGGCGGTAATAGTGGTGGTGGTGGGAGCAGACTAATGTCCTCAATCTCATTACCACATAAATTAAGTGCGTTTAGGTGGCGACAAACCAAGGAACTTGACAAATTCCTTTTTGTGCGGTCGTGTGTGTTCGTGCGTGTGTGTGTGTGTGTGTGTGCCATGTTTGCGATAGGTGATGGCTTTACTGAAGTACGCTAGCGATGCAGACGTTGGCTGGGATTTGGCTGCTAGACTGTCTTCCAGCTTGAAATTAATCACTATAATTCCAAATTTGACATTGTCAATGTCACATGTCCGAGACAATGGGAGGAGAATGACAATTGGGATTAGCTGGATTGTGGAAAACACCCAAGGAGTTGTCTTAGTGGCAGCTGAAAATCTCCATTTTTGTTAAAATGATCAACTCTATCAAAGAAGTATAAGTTACTCTCTTCGGGAAAATGCTTTGGCAGTAAAGTGCCTTTGGCATGGAGTGGTTTGTTGGAAGCCATGACTTCGATGTTCTCCGATGAGTCGTCCTCCATTTCTCATCCACGAGGAGGTGAGTGTCAGATCGATTACTACATTTCTTTCACTGTCTTGACACTCTTAATCCGATTGGTTCTTTTCACGGACAGTAAGCTTCCGAACAATGGAACTGCACACGGACTTCTCAGTAAGGCTCCAGATCAGTGCGACTGCCAATCGGCGTTGGTGAGCACTCGCAACCTTGAAATGCAGTCGGCTGGCCATGCACGATTACACTTGAACACACATTCCTTCACTTGTTTGCCCTCTGCAGCTGGGACGAGAAAGATGAGTGGGGCTTTGTGTTTTTCCATCAATTGTAGTGTCACCATTCTTTTGCCTTTTCGGAGCCGCCTTTGCATTGTCTTGCTGTGCTGCACTGGAAGCAGATGGTTGATTAATTCACAGCAGGTGTATCGTGTCTGGGATTGCATAAACAAACTCCCGGTAGTGCGAACAGCAAGGCCTCTTCTTGTTGCTGATGGGTAGCAGTGGAAAGGTGAAAGTAGGCGAAGACGGCAAGGCGGCGCGTCAAATATCTTTGTTGCTATTGCGGTTGACAGATTAGTCAATGTGGGCGGTAGTGTTGCTTAAACCTCTTCTGATTTTTTTTACCCGACAGGAGAGTAATTAAAGGTGCTTTGGGAATTATTGTTTCCTTGGAAATAATAGGGAAAATGATTTGGATTGGATACATATGTGAGTAGTCTCCCTGTTTGTCAAGTAAAGTGTGAGAAAGGGTTGCAATCATTGTGTAGGTGAGGGAAAGGCTGGGCAGGAGGAGGAGGAGGAGGAGGGAAGGGGGAGTGGGGATTAGGAAATGGGTGGAGAGGAGCGTGGTATGTTAGCGCGAGAGACCTCACCTCTGGTTCATTAACGAAAGGTAAGTTCATTAGCTTAAGATAACTGTCAGTTGGCAGCCTTAGAGATGGCAAAAAGATGTACATGTTGTTCCACACACCGCAAGTAAATAAACAAAGATTCAGCCAGGTCCACGAGCGACGCTCTTGTTGTTTCCTTTTTTCGCTGTCAGCGCATGAAATTTAACACGTTTAGGCATGTTCACGGGCAGAGAGGTACCACAAACACGACAGTCGTGTAAACGTGGGTAGAAAAGAAAGGGGAGGAGGTGGAGGAGATGGCTGTGCGATGCGTGTGGAGTGAAGTAAGAGAAGTGGGATACATCCTCCCACTTGTAGGAAAAACAGCAGAAACGAACATCCAAGTATGCTTTACAATCTATCTACCAGTGGCAAGGCGAGCTTCAAAGAGAAGTGAGGGAAATTTTAACATTTGCAAGCAGTGTACGTAGCTGAAAGTGGAGTCCGTAACGTCCTCCGAAGGTAGGAAAAGTGCACAAATCAGGGTGTTGAATAAATCACTTTTGGGTGATTGTGATGTCACTTAATTCGGATATATTATTTTGCCACTGTCTGATAAGCAAAACCCTTAGTCATGAGAGTGTCTACTTCATAACCTCCTTCATTACAGAAAAATCAAACCAGAAGACACCTGACAAAATGGACTGGGTGTCCACAGGCGAACTGAGGGGATCACTGACACCCTACAAGTATGGAATTGGATTCACTCATTCAAATAATTAATGCACCTCATAAATACACCCCATTTGGTTACGAATGAAACTACTAGCTTCTTTTTATTAGCTTTGACTTCTCTTTCCTCATTTTACTAAGCAATGGCAGTGAGAGTGCACGAGATAGAGGAGAGTGGATTCCTAGGCAAGTGCCCTGAAATTCCATTTCTATGGCAAACAAGCTATGCCGAGCTGGGCAACGCTTATGCGGTTGGGGCCTTGCAAGTTTACGCCTCGATTGTGCGTGGTTTCAGTGACTGCCTCGTCGGTCGAAGCAGTCACTGAGTGCCACTTTGGGGGGGAGGCACACAGCTCTCCCCTACTTAGTCAGTGACAGGCGTTGAATTTCCTGGTCGAGGAAAAAGAGTGTCGGCAGGGCAACCATCTCTGTGAGTCGCTGCCTATTTGGACACGCTTGTGGCATTAGGTTAAGAATTTTCACAACGGTTAATCAAACACTGATTCAAATTGCCATAGAGATTTTGCATTCACATTAACTTATCAAGCAAATATCTGAAATTGCATTTTAACCAGGCCCGACAATAGCGTAGACATCGAATGATACCGACTGTCTCCTCTCTGCAGCTCTCAGCTTTTCGACAAAAGGTAAAGGAAAATGGGAAGCAAAACAGCCAAACCTCAACCCCTTTTGTCACATTAGATTAGACAACTGGCTGTGAAACCTGAAGGGGTTTTAGGGCAGAGTCATTAGGCTGTATGCAAACAGACAAACATCCTCTCTTGAGATTTCCACCTATTTGCACACAGGCTTCAAGCTTTGCACGCAATTCAATTACCTACTGCATAGAGCAAAGCAGACGGTGAAGAGAGATCTGGCTGGACCTGTCGCAAGCACAGAATTAAAATGTTCTAGGGTCCACGTGCCTCAAATAGGCTATCGAATGGACATTCGGAGGGGGTCTTGCAGAAAACTCACTCATCAGCAAAACTGAAACGATTTCAGCTTATTTAAGTGCTTTAGGCTAGACGACTGTAATTTGTATGCAAGTAATATCAAACACGTCTTTATGATGTCAAACTGTAAAAATGAAGACATTAATCACGGGAGCACCAGTGGTGGTCTGTGATTGGTGCAACAGCAATGACCTTGCCATGTGGACTCTCATCGGGTTAAAAACACGCACACACAGCATCCATAATCGACTGTCATTTATCATCCGCATATATATTTGCAAATACAGGTAAAAAAGCAGGCACACATAATTAAGGGCATTAATGTGTTGTTGTTGTTGGCAACGCCTCGGCAGCGCCAAACAAGACAAGACGTTGGGCCTGCACCTCACCTTTTTTCTGCCCTGCAGAGAGATGATGGATAGTGCGGAGGCAAAGAGGAGGAAGTGATAGTCATTAAAGGAGGAAGAAGTGTGTTGGACAAGTTGAATCAAATGGGGGAGATTCATTGAATTCGTAATTTATTGAAGTGGGCTGATTTGGTAGCAATGATTTATCTAAGTCTAGAATAGTTTGCTGTTTTTGTTAAACAATGAAACTGTAGCAAACCAAATTGTGGTTTCCACCAGCGTCACTTTGTAATTCGTCTGACAATTGGAGGTGAATTCGACACACTTTCTTGTTAAGGGAGGTTCAATAAAGTGGACAATCCGTAGCACTCCAATAGCTAGTTCAACTCGGAGTTTTGATGACGCGAGTACCTTGAGCTCATCACTGTACTTCTGCTGGATGGCCTGGCCTTCGGGTCCTGCTAGTAGCCACTCAACACTTCTGCACGTCAGGGACACATTTCCTGTAGTTTTATGACTTCCACCGACTTCAGAAACGACTTGGAGAGGCACATTTAGACTACCAGTTACTGTTAATCCACCCAACAAGCAACCTGAGCTGTCATTCTAAAACTTTCGTTCTAAGAAATGAGCCTAGATGAAATCTAACAGAGGAATACACTTACGTACAAGTAAGGTTGACTCTGGAGGTATATCACTAGTCCTTAGAATTA